ATACACAATTTCGAAGAAAAAGCCAAGAAAGTTTAGGATCAATTATGATACAAAAATGTTTCATTTTTTTTAATGCATACATGTTACTTTATATTTTGTGCCTTTAAAAAATAATTTTCAAAATATTTCTCCACAAGTAATTACTATTACCTTTTAATTTTTAAGATTAAAATTGATGAATAAATGTTTTTGTTGTTTTTTTCTTTTCTTTTTTTTCATAGATAAGGTAAATTTCATGTAGTTAAATGATTGCTGATAGAAATAATGCAATTTTTTCGTGATATATCACATTTAAACAAAAAAATGATACATTTTCGTGTGATCTATTATCATCATACTGTACATATATGAAATAGAAAAATTACGATATGCTTTTCCACATTGTGTCTGGGTGTGTGTACACAGATGTGTCAGACACAATGTGGAAAATGTACATACACGCGCACACACACGTGTCATGTATTGAGTTTCACATTTATAATAATAAATAAAAATATAAAAAATCCTTACATATAAATATATATATATATATGCATATATATATATATATATATTTACAGACACATTATCTGTAAATATTAATAAGTTACAGAACAAAATGATATATCATGATTTACAATTTTTTTCTTCATGTGGAAAGATACAATCGATGATAATCATTAGCTCCAAATGCACAATTACACTTGGGACATTTCCTTTGTCGCGTTTCATATCGTGTACGTAAGCAATCCCAACAGAACACATGGAAGCATTTAGTTAATACAGCATCCTTGCGTTTCACTTTACACGAAGGACATGTAAGAGTTTCTTTGTATTCCCGTAACTCCTCTGCCATTACTTCATCTAACGTTTCGGCTAATTCGATCTTCTTCATTCGTTCCACTTTACGTCGTAGCTGAGCTATCTCTTCCTGCAAAATATAAATCGTATATTTAATAATAATAAAAGAGTACATTTATTTAAACACGATTTTTAAACATTATTTTATTTACTTGTAGTCTTTTTGTTTTATATGCTTCTGCTTCTAATGAACTGGTTTTTTCCGCAACAACTTGTTGTGCTTCTTTCATCTGAGAATGATATTTTTCTAAAAATGTAAGATAACAAGTTAAACATTTACAAACTTACAATCATCAAAATGTTATGTTTAATCTAACTTTGTAAATCTATTATTATCTATCTCAATTAACTTACCAAGATGAAGTTTAAGATCTGCCGCAGACTGTGCACTTTCAATAGCTTTTCGTTTATGCATTTCCATAGCCTGTTGTCTTAAAGCCAATTCTTTTTCAACAGTGGCAAGAGAGTTTTGCAATAAACGTTCTTTTTCTTCTAATTTACGAACAACGACATTAGCAGCTTCTACTTGCGTTGTTAAAGTAGATACTTGCTCTTTTAATACATCTTTCTCTTCCCTAGCTAACTTGTGCAATTGATTGCTTTTTATTCTTTCTGTCATAAGTTTAAAGTTTGCGTCGTCCTTTTCACGTAATTGTTGTATTAATCTTGAATTTTGTTCTTGCATATCTTCAAATGCTTGACCTGTTACTTCCATTTCATTTAAAAGAGCTTCTTCCTCCTGCATCCAGACACAATTCTATTTAGTGTTATGCCACCGTTCATATGCATAACAATAATCGAGTTCATATTATTATTAATATACATGTAAAGCTCTTGGTATAATAGTTTAAATATAAAATATTAATGATCATAATAAAATAATCATAATAATAATATTATTATAATTTTAATAATCTGTAACAAATAAAAAAACACTGAGAGCAAATAGAATAATGTGTGAGATCTACCTGTTTCTGAGAAGCAACTTGTCGCTGTAAGGTATACGCTTGCTCTTCTAATTTCTTTATTTTTATTTGTGCATCTTCATCCGCTAACTTCTTTCTTTCTTCACGCTTACTTTCCTAACATATGAAAAGTAATATATTTAATTTCAGCAACTATCTCATATAAGATAGTTACATTTTTTTTTGTTTAATTATTAAGATAGTTATATATGTCCACATTCCTAATACCTGTATATGAATTGTACAAATATTAAATTAAGATTGATATAGAATCGCGATAAGTAAATACCTGAATTTTTTTAATTTGTTGCCTCAATTCTTCTAATTCAGCTCTTGTCTTACGTTCGGCAGCCATTAATTGAACCTTATCTCTTTGTTCTTTTCCAACTCCTTTATACATATCTAACAAGAGCTTCATTTCCTTCATTTCATTAACAGCTTTTCTATAATTATTATTATAATAAAATAAAGGATTATAGGAAGTTTAGAAAAAATTATGTGTCTTCTTACTTGAGTTGTGCTTTTAAATCTCTGACAAGTTCAGACTCAGCTACTTTTGTATCTTTGGTACGATGTGCAGGATCACGATGTTCAGTTTTAATTGATTCCTTTTTTATATCTTTTTCTCGTTTTATATCTTTCTCTTTTTTTAACGTAGGTGACGTCAATGTAACAGAATCCGGCGTACCTTTATTACCATCTCCTTCATCTACTTCTATTGTTTCAACTTCCTCATCAACACCAGATTCTCGTTTTATAGTTACTCCGCTTTCTTCTTTTATCTATATTTTATATTTATATAAATTAAATATATGTCAATATTTATGACAGCGGACAATATTAAAAAATTGCGACAATTTTGGTTAACATTTATATTATAAAATAAATCATAAAATAAATTTTTCAAATTCTTTATTCGGTCTACTATCATAATTAATTGCACATATATATAATAATTACTATAAATAAATAATTTGGTTAACTTTTTACCTGTGTCGAAGCAGGCAACGAATTAGATGCATCTTCCTCTTTTCCGCTACCATCCGAATTACTACCTTCTTTGTTTTCTTGTAAAGTTTGTTGTCCAAGCTTAGTCGTTAATTCTTCCACTTCTTTTTTAAACTAAAAAAAAACCCAACAATTAATTTCTTTTTTATCTATACAAATGTATGATATTCTAAGTTAATAATGATTTATAGTGTTATCAAATAGTATAGAACATATAACATACCCTTGATATTTCGGTAGAAGCTTCTTTATATTTGCGTTTATATCGGTGTACCTCACCTTTCAATTGCTGATTATGATTTTGTAAAGATGTTATTAAATGTCTCATTTCTCTATTAATAGGACCTGTTTGTTCATTAGCAGCTAAATTCTGTTCAAACTCAATGCGAAGCATTTCATATTCTTTTCTTAATTGAGCTAAAACATCTTCTAATTGAATACACTCTCCACGTAATTTTTTTTGAGCCATTAATTCTTCACTCTAAGCAAATAAATTATGATAAATATTAGCTACAATTTAAGATACTGTAAGAAGAGAAAAATGTTATTAAAAATATAAATTCAACCTCCATCATCTCGATATGTCGTAAATGAGCGTTTTTACTGGATTGCAATTGTTGACGGGCATCATCCAATTGAGTTTTTAATTGCATCGACTCATTGTATAATACGGAAAATTGTGACTGTAAACATTTATACTCTGTTGTTTCTACAATTACTGATTCTGGCAGTTGTCGTATCTACAGAAAAAAAATATACACAGTAACGTATAAATATAACATTAAAAAAATAAAAAATCAAAACGAAAGAATTAACAAAATATTTACATCCATCTTTAATTTTTCTACTTCTTTTAATGCATCGCGATGCTGTTGATGCAATTTATCTAATTCTTGTAACCTATTATTTGCTAGTTCTCGTGTTTCTTCGAGTTCTCTTTGTAAATCCTCAAGCTGTAAAATAAACAAAAATATTCGATAACATCAAACACAATATACATACGAAATTAATCATTTCCTTACCTTTGTTTGCGAAACACTGGAAGCAACAAGAGTATTTGGTTTATTGCTACCTTTTTCGTCCGTTCCATGAATTTGTTGAAATGCTTTTAATTTTTCTATAGCTTCTCCTAGATGATGCTCAAGTTTATCGTTTCTTGCACGTACTTTATTTAATTCATACTGCAGATCATCAACTTGGTTTCTTAATTCTGCTGCTAGAGTATCTTTACCTGTTATGGTATCTTGTAACTCTGACATCTATAATTAATTCATTAAACACAATATATTTGGAAGAAAGATAAAAATAAATTAGAAATCAATTATTAAAATTTTGTAATAATTACTTTTAATGAAATTGTATGATACTTTTCATGAAGTTGTATATTTATAGCTTGTAAATTCCTATTTTCCATCTGTATTTCAGCGTTAGCTCTACGTACAACTTCATCAATATTTGGTGCCTCCTCTATAATAATACATTATTCATTATAGTTATTTACACTCTCTAATTAACACCCTGCACTATGATTTAATGCATGGAGCTATATACCATATTCTTTTCAATATTTCATAAGTCTTATATTTGATTTATAAAATTCTCCACAAGTAAAACTAGTGTATTTCATGCTTAGGCCGTAAAGTGTACAAGTTATAGTGCAAGGGGTTAACAAAATATGATATTTAAAACATGTTACCTCCGTCAAACTCGCCTTTAAGTGCAAGGGTTATCTTTTCATTTCTTTGAGATAAACGATCAAATGCTTGTACAACTTTGGAAACAGCACGCTTAGATACTTGAACACGATTTGCTAATTTATCATCTAATTCTTCTTTGTCCCAGGAAGATAATTGCATGAGGAAAGAAGTAGTCGCCTCGCTTTCATCTGTAACATATATTAAATAATCATAGATATGCTCAAAAATAAAAGTAAACAAAGTCGTGCTTCTTACTCTTATTTTCCGATTCATCAGCTGTCTCTGCATCAAATCTTTGAAGTAATACACGTATATCTTCGTTCAACTGATTCCAATAACGATTGACAACATTAAGTACTGCATCATCCTGCATTTGTCTTTTTTCTAATTGTTCTATGCGTTGTCTTAATTCAGCTTCCATTCGATGTCGTTGCTCTAACCTCTAATAAACAAAGTTTAAATATATGCATTAAATATAAAAAAGTATCAAATAAAAATAAACATAATAAAGTATTAATTTAACATAAGTAAACAAAACAAGAAATAATAAAAACTTGTAAAAATCTTATCTTATACACAACTGTTATTTAATACATGCTTAGATCTTATATGAAAAAAATTTATTTATCGATATCATCCATAAATAATTTCAAATATAACCTATAATAATAATCATTTATAAAAATTCATTGTGTATATAATAAGATATAGTATTTAATCGGAAACAGATCCTTATACCTGTGATAATTTTTTATTTTGAAACTGTAGAACCTTCATATCCATTTCTTCAAGAGTTGATATTGGCCCTATAAGAATGGGTTCAAATTGAACCTTTTTAATAGGTGGTTGTGAACCTGAATCTCCACCATCTGCTGGTCGCTTCGACATTTTTAAATGATGTTATTTGTCTTGTCTGTAATAAATAAAAATACAAAATTGTTTAAATATACATAATATATCGATAGGCATTAAGAATATGTTTATTATTGATTAGGACGAAAAGTACCTTAAAACGGATATAAATTCTTCCAAGAATCTCTTTTTAAAAACTATTTAAATACTCTTATCATGTATTGTCATTTTAAGAGAACGAATATCTGTCGAAGTGTTATTATTTCGACAGTTCTTCACATTTTATTAAGAAGTATCGTTCTTGGATAGAAAGCAAACGCTTATAACGGAAGCCGCCATTGTGGCACAACTTTCGTGTTAGGCTAATAAAAAAAGTGGAAAATACTGACATTTTATCAAGAGGCATCAACGTCATCTACAGATACATGTTAACCAATAGGAAATAAGGATACATGCAGTGCTTAGTACATCGTAAGAAACGATCTGATTCGTTGCTTTAACAACATTGTGCACACCAATAGGATTATCCTGTTTAACATACTTTTTTATTAAATAAATATATTACAAAAAGTTGTCTATATTTCTCATTTTAATATTTTTTATTGACAAATAGAATTAGAAATTAACAATCATTTAAAAATACATTCATCAATAAATATTTTTCTTTGTATTTTTGCGCACATAATATTTTTTTTTATTTCGAATTAATTTACCTGGGAAAATTTAAATTGACTTACTTTTGAATATTTGAATATTTTTAATGTAATAATATATTTATTATGAAATATTTAGTAATGTATATAATAAAATGAAGAAATAAATATAACATTATTTATACTAGAAAGAATAAATATTTAAATATATTATTTATTCATAATATACGTATCAGTATAATTAGAAGATTTGTATTAAAAATGTTGTATAGCTACGGATCTGTAAACGAGTTTCCTTGGAAACCACCCTGCAATGAAATCTGCGTGATTAAAATCCATAATGGATCAAACTTATAATTTCATGGATTTGACTTACCATCCTTTGTACGATTAGAATCTAAAATACTATCGCAAAAATGAAATCTTATACTGATCATGCTTTAATTGTGGTCCCACCACCACCTCCAAGATTTACGTTGAATGAATGGCATCTCAATAATACTTTCAGGTATTTAAATGCAGAATAATTTTTTTGTTCAAGGTTATTTTTTCCTTTTTACAATGAACATTTTTCTCTTCTCAAAATCAGATATCAATGCTCGGTAGCTCAACAAGAATTAGCTGATAGTCTTTTATCAGAGTCAAAAAGAGTTTGCGAGTTAACTGCTGAAACGGCTAAAACTAACAAAGAAGAAACAGATCATCAGCTTAAAGAAAAATTAGAGGATATTGATTTTCGTAAAAAAGAATTATTAAGAATAAGAAAAGAAGTAATTCTTGAAATTGATGCACTTTGTACGTACAAAGAGCGTATTATGGATGCACTTTCTTCTGTAAAAAGAAACGCTCTTATTATTTGTGAAAAATGTCTTATTGTGAGGTAAACAATTTGAATAAAAACACATTTCATATTATTTTTTTATATTTTAAAATCATATATTTTATTATAAAATATTATACAATCACAGGGAACATAGATTAGGTATAGATTTAGTACACGATCAGGTTGAAGCAGAATTATTGAAAGAGTGCGATGTGATTAAGGGTACAGAGATTTTGTTAACACGTATTTTGGAACAAACTCAAGAACAAATACGTAGATTAAAGGCTACTCTTTATTACATGGATCATGATCTTGAAGATAAAGAAAATAATTTACGTATCGACAAACATAATTTAACATTGAAGGAAACAAGTTTGAATTTGAGTCTTTATCATGGAACTTCTCGTCTTGATCCATCGTAAGGCATACATTTGTTGCATAAATATTTAAAAAAGAAAACATTATTTTCTATTATGTTCTACTTTAGAATAATCTATGGATAATATTGATAAGTATGTCTGTCTACCTATATAGGACTATAACACTGAACGAATGGGAAATGCAAACGAATAATAATATTATAACTGCCAGTAAAGAGATCAATAGTGCAAGACCTATGCGTGCTTACATTGATACAATAATAAAACAAACTATTGATGATCTTAATAGTCAGAAAAATGCAACAGATGAAGCATTTAGGAAACGTATAGAAGAAACCAAAGAAATAAAAACTAAATTAGAAGTACAACATTCAGAGGTATATCATGTACCTTTATAATATAAACTTCATTATTGTAAATTTACATTATTTCTAGATAATGCGACAAGCAAGTGAAATGACACGAAACATAACACAAATAGAAAAATCAATTGCGGAAAAAGAAGGATATATGGCCTTAGCTCATACAAGATTAGGCAATCGATGTCAACGACCTGGTTTAGAGCTTACTAGAGATCTTGTAGAAACATATCTCGTCAAAGAAGTACATGACTTACGTGAAATTGTCAAAGAATTGCAACAAACGCTCTGTGAGGTTTGTAATTCATGTATGATATTTATCAAAATGAATTTAATTTTTAATTTCTAAAATATACTTACAGGCTCAAGCATCACTGCGTTATTTATTAAAAACACAAATTCAACTCGAAGAAGATATTAACATTAAAACGAATACATTAAAAATCGATGAGGTTGATTGTATGACATTACGCCAAAGTATGAGTTATCATGCATATTAAAAATGCAATATACTTTTGCTTTTTTATAATCTTTAGATGTATACGTGATTTATAAAAAATAAAAATTAAACAATTTCATTGTTACTCATAATAGAAAGGAAGTAACAATTTTTATTTATCAGTATAATTAAATCGTACACGTTAAAAGTGTTGCAATTCACTTGATTTCATAAATAAATAAATAAATAAAATAAAAAGTCATGTATAACGTTCCATTATCGATATTGTAAAAGTTCAATCGATAGTGACTTTTTACTCGAATCGTTAAAGTTGGCAACACTTATTTAATGGAACGACTTCCGCCTGGTTGCTTTCTTTTTAGTGAGGGATGTTGGCTATTACAATGGATGTTGTGAACTTAGTGCGTTGCAATCTTTAACAGTTTACAGTTGTATAAGATTATTTTGTATAAAGAAGTAATTTCTTATTAGAAACGATAAACAGTTATTATTAATTCAGTCGTGTGAAAATCGTTGGATCGTTGCGTACAATTTTTACGTATTCACGATCTGTTCTATATACATATATACATATACGTGCATATATATATATATATATAGAGAGAGAGAGAGAGAGATATACTTTTCATCATATAGATAAAGAGAAGAATCTTTTTCTACCGGTGTAATGGCCGATGTAGAAGGAAAGAAGTTGACCGAGCTTCGTGTTATAGATCTTAAAACAGAATTAGAACGACGTGGTTTAGATAAAACAGGAAATAAGGCAGCACTTCTTGAACGTCTTTCTAAGGTATTATTTAATGAATTTAAATCTCTATTAGATTTTCGATCAAAAATATTTAAATATATATACATTAATTTTATTACTTTTCGTAACGGGTTTTCTTTTTCTTCTTTCTCACGTAGCATCATGTGTGCCGTCGGCCATTTTAACCTTATTGATTCTTATTCAGATTATTCGTAACGTAATTTATGTTGTATCTTGACATTAACGCAAAACGTTAGAAAACATTTGTAATACAACGCTCGTGTAGTAATTATGCCAATTACATGATATTTGTAGAAAAATTCTTGTAATATTATGATTATTATTTCTTTTTGTTTTTTATGTCTCGTGAAATGTTTAGCGAAACTTGATTCGATGTTAAAAATAATTCTTAATGGCTATTAATTCTTTTCTCTTCGTTTTACGCATAAAGATATGTTTTTTTCGTTAGACGTCGATGTATATATATATTGCGTAGTTTTAAATATATTATTTAAAGATTCTATATAATATGTGTATATACATAAGTTTTTAATGTATATGTTTTATATAGCCTGGCTATATAGAAAGACTAATTGTTAATTAATTACTATATACACGTATATATTTCATCAGAATATATTATTAGAAATTCTATTCTTTAATCAAAAAATAATAATGCTTTTCCCTTATTATAAAATTACATCTAGAGATAATCAATAATTCAGTATTATTTCAAGTATGAAATACTTGGAATATCTTATGTAATATCTTGAATTATATAAAGACAAAGTATTAATAAATAATATTTTATTACTTAATAATATATATATGTTCATCAATTATATAGGATGCTTATGAAACTGATAATACAAATAAGCAAGGGTAATTTTATATGAAAAAATGAATCGAAAATGTAAAATTAAATATGCCAGATACACGTATACTTGATTTAGTTTCAACTCATTGTCAGTGAATTTTACTATTTTACTCCCGGATATTTCAAATAACATTTTTGTGCTTCTTAATATTAATAAATCATTATCAATCAAAGTTTTTAGTTTTTAGAGTTGCAAGTTTAGTAGAGTGCATTCATATTTGACAAATTTTCGAATTGATTTTTTTCAAAAAACACAGCCTTTTAGATTTTTGAATTTTATTCTACATTTTTGACTTAGTTTTTCACGTAAAACCATTCCCTGTTCGCTTGTATTACCAGTTACAGAACATCTTGTGTAATTGATGAGCATATATTTTTTATAATAATTTATGTTAATAAATAATATTCTGTAGACAATAGAGACAAAAAATGATGGTGATGATTATTATTATTACATATATTATTATTATATAATAATATTGTTTAGGCTATATCTGACGATGGAGAAAATCCTGAAGAATATCTTATTGTGCCTTGTGGTGGAGTTTGCAAAACTAGTCCAAGGAAAAACAGTGGTACATAACTAATAACTTGCTTTTTATAATCTTCATTCTAATTTATATTAAAATTCTTTTGTACTAAAATATTTCATCCATCGATATACATTTAATATAAAGTTTGGTGAATTAACATAATTGAAAAAAATTGCTTCATAGTCACAGGAGTACCCAATCAAGATGATACTTTGGAATCATCTGAAAATCAGAAAGAGGAAATTGTTGAACCATTAAAGAAAGAAAATGTAGATACCCAAGATACTAGTAATGACTTAAAAGCAAAGTCAAAACCAAAACAGTTGTCTGAAGAAAATCTTGTCGCTAAAAAGGAGGTACAAAAATTCGTTTTACTTAATTTTTAATAAAAGACCTATTTATATCTATATATAACATTTTATTTATGTATTCTCACATTGTGCTACATTTAAAAATATTTTCGATATCAAAGGATACATCTACTGATGTTTCTGATAATCTTCCGAAAGAATCGGAAATCAAGCAAGAAACAAAAACTACAACAGTGAATAAAACTACACCTGAAAGCACACCAACTAGCGAGAAGAAACCTGAAACTGAGAAGATAACTACATCAAATCAGTCTTCAACTACAGGTGCAGTAGAAGCTAATGGAATGGATAATGAAGATTCCATTAATTTAACCATTGGAGAAGATGAAGAAAATCTCCTTGCCGAGGAGGTAAGTTCATTTGAATCTATTACATTATAGGCGTTTTTTTAATTATAAAATATATTATGCTTAACAGCAATGAACTTAAATCAAATGTTTCTCGTTTACAGACTGAATCCCATGATAGGCATAAGGGTAAGTCAAAGGTTAATTTTATTTTAATTATAGCATAGATTTACATATGGAGAATTAGAAACTAGAAATAGTAGTAACCTTAACTATGGTCCTGAGTAAAATGCTCAAATCTGCGACGGCATCAAGACTTTCGGAACATGTTCAAGTTACGACGTGTAACAGCACATCAATCCAGAATTGGGGGCAGTATTGGTATTCTTCATTGCGTTGTACATCTTGTACAACCTTCGCTTTGGCCCACGAGTTACGCAAGCTGAACTCCAACATACAACAGGAAGTGATCTTCTCTTTTGCTAGTCAAGTGGACGGAGCAGATATCTTCACAAACAATAGCACATGCTGTGCTTCAAAAAGGTTTCAAGCAGAACGAAAGTACTTCGTATCACTTACGTGCAGCCAATGCCAGAGTTACATAAGACAACCCGTATATTCAATAAGCGCTAGTTTTTAAGTTAGTTAACACTAGAATTTGATATACCCGTTACATTAATTATGCCTGCCGCATAGAGCATCGTTGGATCATCAAAACACATTGTGGATACAAGAAGATTTATGTGCGTCTCAACTTGGAAATGTCTTATATATATACATATCACAATTAAATGTGATATTAATCAGCATATGATTGAACTCACTATTTTCGATTCATCACACATATGGACTTACTGCAACTCTAAGCAGAATCGATATATTACATATGCTCGAATACATTTCCCCATGCAAGAATTTGATATATTCCAGGAATCACTTGATATTCATAAAGTCAAATAGATTTTATAAAATGAGCATTTCTTGCTGTCTACCTATCTACTACTGTACTCTGCATTGCTGCTTTCCCCTTTCTAGTTTCTCTTCTTGATTCAGGCTTCAAATTGACATCTTATATGTATATAAGACATGTATATGACATCTTATATATATATATATATATATACACATAAACGGAGAGGTACGAAGGTATTTGGCTTTATGTCTCTATCTTTGGTCCCCCCCGAAAAAAAGCTTAGGTTCACTGAGGTGGAACACTATGCCCAATGGAAAATGAGTTTGCAGTCCATGCAAGCCTCATCATTATTCACTGCGAAATCTTATAGTGCTCAGGAAAGTTCCTGATCGAGAGCACGAGCCATTAAACAGGAGTGTTAGGGAGGGAGAAGAATCAGGCTTGGCAGAAAGTGACTATGCTACCTTGATTGTCTCTGCAGATGGAGGTGAGAAGAAGAAAATGGAAGAAAACAAGAAGGGAGATTCTAAAGGGAGCGGTAGAGCAGAAGCTGGTGCCAGCAACAAGGAAGGGACAGCGTCTGGTGCAAACGTCGGGATGAAGAACAAGCAGGATGGTGGCGATGGAAGCAAGAGGTTGGTCTCTCATAGCTAAGTGGTTCACAGTGGTTCGACAACGAAATATTACACGACTCTCTGCTAGTGATGTTCTTCTGCCACATACAGTACCATCAGGATAAAATACTGTTGGACAATGGGATCCCCAAGATATAATGCTTCGTCACGGTCATATACAAGATCACTTTTTCCCTTTTTTTTCAATCGAATATATATATATATATATACATATATATATCAAGTTATCTATATATAACTTCTGTATTTAGGCTGTAATTCTTAACTCTGAAAAGTATGTTAAGAAAACGAGAAATTGGCTAGCAAACTTACAAAATCGTAGACCAACCGCGATTTTTTTTTTAGTGTTAACATATTCTGACGTTACTAATGAAAGAATATCTTAAAAAAAAAAAATAAAAAAATACATATATATATATATAAAATAAATTATTAAAATATATTTAAAAAATATGTTTAAAAAAGAAAATTAAAAAGAAAAGAAATATCAAGTGCTACGTTTTTGGTTCAACGAAGATATTTCTTTTTAAAAGAGACTACCAGTTCCATCATGCGCCATAATACAAGAACAATTTAGTATATTATGATTAATTCTACTTGGCAGAATGCAGTTAAATAACTTGTGTACTGAAAAACAATCAAATATGATTTACTAAAGACATTACCTACTTTAGACCGCGTAAGTGTATAAAAATATATATATACATAAAATAAAAAAATGTTAGTTTCCATCATGGCAAGACATGTGCTGTCAGAAGAACTGCGAAGGAGGGGCATCCGCTTTGGAGATACAGAGGGATTAATGGCATGAACTATTCCTATATGGATATCAATCATCGTACACAAACACGATGAATATATGGATAAAAACAGTGAAAATGCATGCTGTACTTTAAGTTAATCGAGTAATACTAGTGTATTATAAAAAGTGAAAGAAAGAAAATAATGCAAACTGTTATACGATATATGTTAAAAGATTGCTAGCCAAATTTATGTGCTTAACATAGTTACAGAGGTACTTATGAAGCCTCAGATATAATGATAGTTATTTAATCTTTATGTTTGACCCAATAAAATATTTGTTTAAACATATATAAAACATGATCATATATTTTCAGTGTGGAGTCTGGCAGCAAGAGTCAAAAACGGGAAGATAAAGGTAAGTTTTTTGTTATTGTAACGTAATATTAATTTGAATTAAAAGTTAAGTAAATTTACTTGGAAATCTGTATCTGTATTCAATAATTTTTATTTTTATACTATTTATGTAATTCACAGATAAGAAGACTTCTCAAATCGGTCCTGTGAATGCAAGTAGCAGGAATTTGTGGGTATCTGGATTATCATCGAGTACTCGGGCTACTGATCTAAAGCAAATATTTTCTAAATATGGAAAAGTGATAGGTGCTAAAGTTGTTACTAATGCTAGAACTCCAAGTGCAAGATGTTACGGATATGTTACTATGTCTACGAGTGAAGATGCTGCTAAATGTATACAACACTTGCATCGAACTGAATTACATGGTCGAGTGATATCTGTTGAGAAGGTAACTGTTATTATTTTTAATTTTCTTTGTTGCTAGACCTTTTACTTAATTCCAAACAAATTAGAACCTAATTCATTTATCCATGTTTTTACATTTATTCGTTTAACTAAATAAAATCGGAACATTTGTTACTCGTTCGTTTTCTTACAATATAATTTCCGATTTTTTTAGGCTAAAGGAGATTCTCAACAAAGTCATATGCGCAAACGTGATGCAGCAAATGGAAAGTCAGAAAAGAAAGAAGAAAAGGAGTTTAAATCAGGAATGCAGCAACTAGTGTCAAATGATACAGAAAAGAAAGAAGAAAAGGATAAGGCTAAAGATAATCATGAAGCTAACGAAAGAAAAGAGAAAGAAGCTAAGAAAGAAGGCGAAGAAAAAGGACCTGAACAAGGTATGTCTTTTTCACTAATTTTTTCTCTAATTAGCACAACACAATAATATTTATAATTTAATTTACATAAATAATTTAATATTCTTATGAGACAAATATTTTATACAGTCAAGAAGAACGACGAGAAAAATGAAAATATCGATGCTAAGAAAACTGAACCAATCGATAAAAAGGAGGAAATATCCAAGGAATCCGATTCTCGATCAACTAAATCTACCAGTAAGAAACCAGAAAGTGAAAGAGGTCGACGAGAGGATAAACGAATTCGTCCATGGGAGCATCATCGTTCTTACAGTCGTTCGCGTAGTCGAGAACGCCGTAGACGTGATGACGTTCTTACTTTTGCGAAAATAAGGGTTAGTATACAAAAAAAATATATATATATATATACTTTAACATTAGATTTATGAATTAGTTCAAATTTTTTTCTTTTTATAAATACATATGATCAATTCTATGAATTCTTTTTTATTCTGGTTTTAATATAATATATCTCATAAAAAAGTAATATTAATAATTATAAGAGTTCGAATAAATGCGACAACAGATTGATAATTCGCAGGAGGAACGTGAAAGACAGAGATTACGCGAACGTGACAGAATGTTACGGGAAGAGGAAAGAAGACGACGCGAGGATATGGAAAGACAACGAGAAATCGAACGTAGGCAGAGAGAAGAGGCAGCTCGATTGGAAAGAGAAAGAGAGAAATTGAGAAGAGAAAGGGAAAGAATAGAACAAGAAAAGGCGGAATTACTTCGTTTAGAGCGAGAACGTCAGAAATTGGAAAGAGAGAAGTTGGAACACGAAAGATTGGAATTAAAGAGACAACAAATGCGTTTGGAAGAAAGTAGACGTGCTCCACCACCACCTTCAATCAAAAGATCATCCAGCGATAGAAGGGATCCTAGAGATATGTACGTTGATCCGGAACGAAAACGTATGGCTACGGAACATAGCAGAAGACATAGTCCGGATAGAGTTAGTGATAGAAGAACTGAGATTATGGATCGTGTTTCTGATAGACGATTAGATCCGTCACCACCTACACGCTACGAATCGAGCAGGTAATTAAAAGATACAATTAATTTATTATCATTTAACAGTGTGTATCTAGTTATTGCGTTGATTTGGATTATAACTTTGTGTTGTATGTGTGTGTTACTCTTTTATAGATAGAATAAAATTATAGAGAAAAATTTTACCAAGCTTTATCTTCGAGTAATGTGAGTTTTTGCAGAAGTGCATCGGTACAGTTGCAATATCAAAAAATGCAAAATTTTCCTCTATAATTTTGGTCTAATTACAGAAAAAAAACTAAATTTTAATACAGCCGAATTATTAAATACTCTTTATATATATATATTTCGTCAAATATTTTAAGGACAAAAAATTAATTAAATTTCTGTTTATTTAATCACAGATCTACGCAAGAGATGGGATTGAAGAAAGAATTTAAACGCAGTAGTGAATTTACTTCAAGAAGTAATCGTCCAGAAACATTTTCTGATGTATCACGTGGAAGAGAAGTTATCGTACGTCGTGAATCTCTATCTGCAGCATCCTCGTCTATTGATCCACGACAAGTTAAAGAAAGGTAATTTCTAAAATGTTTGTTCTCAATTATTAATTATTATAAATAAAAATTTGGGTACATTTGTAAAATCTCGTGTTAGTAAAATGATACAATGATGATATTTTTTATTTTATATGTATACATTATATCATAAACGTGTTTTAATCAATTTTTTTCAAAAATTGTGTAGATACGAACGACCCAGTACTACAGCATATACTCGTGAACGCGAGGTTCGACGATCAGAACCGGAGTCTCATAGAAATTCTAGGGATAGTCATACTCGTTATAGTGAAAGCTTCAAACCACCGAGCTCGAGTGCACCCCGTAAGTACTATAAAGAGTACATACTCGAAAAATGTCTTTAATTTCCTGCACACCATCGGGTCATATATTAAACTCGTATAGAATCATATTTCTATGATCCATTATATGAAGGTTTATTTTTTTTTATCTTATCGACGTTGTATTAATAATCTTACAACTTAAACATATATAATGGATTATCTATTTTTTTATTTTTTCATTCTATAAGAAGTATGCACAAATCTTTAAATTGAAAAATTTATTATTTTTTTATGTTTTTTTATGGAAAAAATATTACTACAGTTTTATTATTTTAGTAATTATCACGAGATTTTCATAAATGATGTGTGCATGTTAAGATTATTTGTAAACTATAATATCTTGGACACTATTTTGGTTTATATAAATTCTTATAGAAAACTTAATATGCAATACCCGATAGAATAAGACTGGATTTTTATTTTTTTTATTTTTTAATCATTTTCTTATTATTTTTCATTTAAAGATGTTACATTTCTATTTATTACATTTTACTATTGAACTTTATTATTAGACACTTAAACTATTCACTTATTATTATTGAATACTATTATATTTTATATATATAGTTAACAGTTTTTTTTTTAATTCGTAGTATAAACAAGAAAGTAGTATTATTTTTCCAATACCTAATTTTAAATGAATTCCAAAGTAGTAAACTCTACGTCTGATTAATTATAAAGAAAAAAAAAGAAATAAACGTTATATTATTAGATCTATATCGATAATCAACATTAACAAACATAATTATATTAGACTGATCTAACATTATCGAGAATAAAGTAGTATACCATAATAATTATTGTGAATTTGAAATGACTTGTGTTAGAAAGTGATGATTATGAAGATAAAGAAGAATAAGTCATGTTATTAAAAAAAATCTAATTATTAACGCAATGTCCACTGCTTTGTATGTTATAATTATTAATTCAAAGAAAAATAATTTTTGTCTCTCTACTTAATAATAATAATAATAATATTGTCTTTATTCTTATCTTGTGAGAAACAGACGTATAATAACATTAATTTTGCTCTTGTACTTATGTGTAGTTGGAAAATCATTACTCTGTTGTCTCATCTTTTTAATATGAGTGGTTTATGTTTCTAGTTTGTTTGTATTATTTTATTCTCACAGCGTGAATACATTATATATAAATATATATGAGCCGTTTATTTTGAAAGTGGCATAAGTCACTTTTTTTCTTTTTTTTTTTATTGAAAATAAAAAGATACCGTTCAATTGTAATTAGTGTTGCCATTAACTCGATTTTTTTTAAAAGTGACTTATGCCACTTTCAAAATAAACGGC